TTGATGTGAAGAAAGATATATTTCGACCTAAAGAAGATAATGAAGAACTTCTTGGTCCTGAGGTACCATATCTTAGTACAATTGGTGCACTTATGTATCTGACTAATAATACATGACCAGATATAACATTTTCAGTTAATTTATTAGCTAGATATATTCTTCTCCAACAAAAAGATATTGGAATAGAGTTAAACGTATATTTCGTTATCTTCGAGGTACAATTGATATGGACTTGTTTTATTCAAACAAATCAAATTTTGATCTAGTTGGTTATGCAAATGTTGGATATTTATCTAATCCACACAAAGCTAGATCTCAAACAGGTTATTTGTTCAAATGTGGAGGAAGCGATCAGTGAAAAAGGACGTAACAGCTACCTCCTCAAATCATGCTGAAATTATTGCAATTCATGAGGCTAGTCGAGAATGTGTATGGCTAAGATCAATGACTCAACACATTCGTGGAACATGTGGCTTGTCTTCTAATAATCTTCCAACGATATTATATGAAGATAACACAGTATGTATAGCTCAAATAAAAAAAAAGATATATTAAAGGGGATAGAACAAAACATATCTCACCTAAGCTCTTCTACACTCATGATCTTGAAGAAAATGACAACATCAATAATATTTAACATATTTGTTTGAAGGATAACCTGACAGTTTATTTACAAAAGCATTACTTATAGCAACCTTTGAAAGATTGGTACACGATATTGGAATACGGCGGCTCAGAGATCTCAAATGATATTTACATAATTTATTGTATTCTTTTGGGTTTGTTAGATTATATGAAATATGTACTCTTTTTCCTCCACTAGGATTTTTTTTCCCACAGGGTTTTTTTCCTAGTAAGATTTTAACGAGGCATATTTCATATAAACATTGGCATCTAAGGGGGAGTATTATGAACATTAAATAGATGTCCAATCTTAGGTGTCAAAAACATAGATGTCTAAATAAACCCTAACCCATGTGTCAACCTCTTCACATTTGCCTAATGTCTCCAAAGTGTCAAATTGAACCATGTCCAGGTGCTTAATTCTCAAATGTCCCATGTGTCTATTTCTACCTATGATTAGTTTCCAATTGTAACACCTTATGGTTGTATAAATTGCCTATAAATAGTGAAAATTCACGGTTCATTTGAGAGTGGATTTTGGTTAAAAATTCATGTTGAATTTCAAAGAGAAATTGAAGAGAAATTGCATTTTCTATTTTCTATTTTTAATTCTATATTTCAATTTTATATTTTGTCCAAACTCGTATTTTCTCATTGTTCGTGAATCATGGTGCCTCATTTTGCTCCATAATTTTACAAGAAGTATTACTTATTACAACACAAAATATTAACAAATACAAAATAGAATACATAGTAATATAGTAATTGTAAAATAAATAAAAAGACAATAATAACAAAAAAAAAATTAAAAAGAACTAATAACCAATACACATTCTTGAAGATTTTTTTTTCCTGGAAGATATACACATTTTAATATACGACAAACATTATTATTCAACTTTATCAAAGCAATATTGTAACCATACAAACTTACGAATTGAAAAATAGCTTTGATATATGAATTTCGTGTCAACTTGAACGTATCAAGTATATTGTTGCTTTCAAGATTAGAGAGACTTTAAGAACAATAAAATGAGAGAGAACTAAAAAAAATGGAGCTCGAATGTTGAGGAAAATTGATAGAATAAGATGCCTTTTTATATTAGTACATGTGAAAAAGTCACCATCTTTTGGAATTCCAACACTTTTGAAATTCTATTTTAATTATTATTAGTAAATCAAACAACAACTTTTTTCATATTAGCCCATGGCTCCACCTCATGAAGAAACTCCTTTGGAGGATGACCTACCACCGTCATCGCCTATTCCATCTAGATCTCCGTCATCTTCCCCGTCTCCGGTGGGTGTTGATTCTCCTCTCAGTCCTTGTTATCTTCATCACACAGATAATACATGACTCATTCTTGTTTCTCAATTACTCACTGAAAACAATTACACATCGTGGAGTCGATCGATGCATTCATATTTTATTCTCTCCCCTCAAAGTCTAATATAAACTTTAAAAATAATAAGGACTAAATTTTAAAAGTTATTAAAAAATCAACATTGGAAACCACATACTTAACCAAATAAAAAGAAGCTTATCAACAAAAAATTTAACTATTCAACCAAGAACTGGTAGAGAATTTAAACTTTAAATATTTTCTGTGTTGAACAAGAAATTTAGAGAGAAGTAATTCCTAAAAAGAGATAAGTAATGTCTAAATGAATTTAACTATACTATTATCTATTTCTAGTTTAATTCAACTAGTGTTTAGCTCGTAAATATTAATTAACACTTAAATAACTATAAATCCATGGTTCTTATAAGAAAACACTTAAATAACTCGGTCCAGATTAAAATTAAATTTGAAAAACAAACCTAGCTAGGAGAAACCCAACTATTGTAAAAACCTAAACTCAATTGAAATCAAGATCTGGAGGGCCGTGGGATGAAACATATTGATTAATAGGAGTTTAAACTTCTTCATAACTAATGAAATAAAAATCCGATAGACAAAATATACTGTCAAAAAGTTGCTATTTTTTTGACACAGTTAAAGCAGCAATCCGGCCGTCAGTGGTGTAGAGGAGAGAGAATTCAAGTCACGCGCTGCAGCTTAACCTTATCCTCAAGCCTTCCGAAGTTGAGGAGAGAGAATTCAAGTTTGTGTAGAGAGGGAAAATGGTGAGCTGGGAACAGAGATGGTATAACACCTTCAAATTTGACAAACGCCAGCTTTTGGTGTACACAACACAATCACTGGAACCCAATCATTATAATAATAAGACCTCGTCATTTCCAAATATTCAAGTTTTGGAGCAGTGATTTTCCCATGTGTGAAAAGACGACCTCGTATTACCAAACGTTCGAGAAGTGGGCAGCTCTGAAACATGTCTCCCTCAAGTTTCACGCACCAAAAATATGATTGATTGTTAACCTCAAGACCATGTATCCACAAAGTCTCCCGATAGCTGCACAGACCGACATGTCGTAAAGCTGCAGCACGAGGCTGGGAAATCCATAAATCCCCCGGCCAGGCAAACTTGTTGGACATTGTACGATGCTGCGAAGCCAAAGAAACGTTTGAAGAAAATGGAATCTTCGGAAATTCTATTGTCATAGTCTTCTACGTTCTGAGTCATGCAAGGTTGGTAGCTGGTGAAATAACAAGCAAGTTTTGTGATGTTTGAAAGTGGACTGCGACGGGACAAAACTCCTAGAATGAAACGGCGAAAGCATCTTTCTTCTGATCACATGGTTGTGAAAATGAAAATCGTTAAGGCCATGAGAGAAGGAGCGATAGTGTCGAAGCTTAAAGATGGGATTGAAGTCCAAACATTTGTCCACCTTTTTGACAAAAGGAAAGTGGTTTTGATGACCATTTGAGTGTCTTCAAGAAAAGAGAGAAAGAAGCTCGTCTGGCATCGTCTTCACTTCCTTCTTCTTCATCGCTCTGTTGCTTTTTTTGGAAAATAGTGCTTCATTGATGTATGTGAAAATCATAGACAAAAAGAAGAGGCCTAAATGAAAAAGCATTTCAGTTAAGAGAAACGGTAGGAACATCCTAAAATAGAAGATTTGGATGACGAAAGAGATGTTTTTCCAAAGGTTTGTGTAGGATTTTGATGAGCCTGTGAAAGTTGGGAGATTTCATACATGCCAAAGGATAGAACTTAACAAGAATAGAAGAGCTTATAAAGATATAGAAATAGACAATAAAGGAAGTGAAGAGACATTGGTTTGGTTTGGAAGACGTGAAGTCATTCATTTTTTATGGATATTATCAAATTGCTTGGGAAATAAACATTCCAGAGAAGACCAACAGTCGTGCTTCAAAAGCTAAATTAATTAAGGCTTTAAATTTTTTTTTCTTTTTTACTAATGGTCTTTTTCATTAGTCTAGTGCTATCCATTTCCATCGTTTTTTTTTTATTTCTTCGAACTTTTTTTTTATATATATATAATGCATGCTCATTTGAATTGGATGTGATCCGGAGTCGTAATTAATGAATCATTTAATTATAATTAGCATATATATCCAACCAATAAGTCGTGAGTTGGATCCCACCCCCCACAATCATATTGAAATCAAATGTGGGACACATCTCAAACTTGTAATCCAATTTCTAAAAGACCTACAACATCATCAATCACATTCTCATTCCTTATTCCCACATATATATCATAATTAATTTACAACTTTTACCATTTATCTATAATTTAATAATTAGACACATATAACTTTTAATTTTTTTTTATACTTTTATAATTTCTTCTCCATTTATACTTTTGATTGCGATTCCAAGAAATTTTTGGTAAACAACATCAATGGAACAACATTACGATTTCGATTGATTTCATTAGGATTGATTTTCATTAGGATTGATTTCTATTACGATTCATAATAATTAAATGTGGCCTAAATTCAAAAGTATTGTCTTCATAGGGATGGCTAATTAATAGATAATTATCACCTAATTGTTGGGTTTATAAAGAGTGCAAATGATGCATGTGATATATAGATGTGTACAATTATCTCTATTAATATGAGACATTTTGCAACAAAAATAAAGTCAATATTATATAGTATAGCGACTGGTCAACTTTTCGATAGTGGTGAGGTTAATATTTCATCCTACCCATGACAAGCAAGTATTTTGTTAAAAAATCAGCAATTTTTCTATTTTGCAATACTTTTGAAGGTGAAAAATCTCATCCACGAAAACCTACTTACATGACTAATGAAACGACGTCGTCTAAATAACGGTAAGACAAAATTAAAGGATCGGAGAGAAACTTGGAGCACTGCCAACCATAAGCCATTCAATTGAAACAGCTTTACTTCATCGCAACAAACCTTCAAAAGTACTAAATAAAGAACCCCAAAACTACTCCAATATATATAAGAAGAAAGAAGAAAGATTAGAACGGAGAGCCAAAGGAAAAGTTTAAGCAAAAGAGCATTTTTGTAGGCTAAAAATCTAGCCGTGTGTCGGTACAAATCGACGAAAAAAATGACTCATTTGAAGTATTTTGCACCGATGCTATTTGTATGTATGCTCGGTTTGATTCCTTTTTCAATGGCTATTTCTCCCAACAACATTTTCATCCTCGGTGGTCAAAGTAACATGGCTGGTCGGGGTGGGGTCGAAAAAGACCCAAACACACAAAAAATGGTATGGGATGGAATTGTCCCGCCAAAGTGTCAGCCCAACAAATCAATCCTTCGATTTTCTGCTAATTCGGTATGGGAAGAAGCCCTTGAACCACTCCATTGGGATATTGATGTCAACAAGACTAACGGGATTGGACCAGGCATGCCTTTTGCCCATGAGATTTTGGCCAAAGCTGGTAACAAAAGTGGTGTCATCGGCCTCGTTCCATGTGCCATTGGCGGAACTCACTTGAGAGAATGGGTTAAAGGGACTCAAAACTACACAAGATTGGTCAATCGAATCAAAGCTTCGGAAGCACAAGGAGGAAAAATCCAAGGACTTCTTTGGTATCAAGGAGAGTCTGATGCTGCAGTGGAAGAAGAATCTAAATTCTACGAAAGTAACCTTACCAAGTTCTACACTGACTTGCGCACCGACACAAACCACCCCGACCTACCCATTATTTTGGTTCGTCATCTCCCTCTTTTTTGTTTTTCTTTTAATATAACATGTTGGGAGGAGATTCGAACTCACCATCTCCACAACCTCTTAGTTTGACGTAAATTATCACTTAACTACTCTTTCAGGTGAAGATAGTAACTCATGATTTTTTCATAAGTCCACTTATAAACTTTCTTAAAGATGTGTGGAAGGCTCAGGAGGATATCACACGCGATCTTGTAAATGTTAGAATCGTGGATGGGAAGCAAGCAGTGGGCAACTTTGATACAGGCATGAACCAAGATGGAGGTCATCTCAGTACCAAATCTGAAGTGAAATTGGGAAAAATGTTGGCTGATTCCTTCTACTCAAACTTTGGCAACAGGCTCACAGCTGCCTAGAATTTCGCCAATGAAATGACCAACTGAAAGGAAATAAGAAAATTAATGTCTTTTTACACGTGTATTTTTGGGCACAGTGCGTCAAATTTCAATTCTTTCTAACTCATACGTCTGAAATAAGTTGTGAAATTGTGATATGTCTAAGACCCCGGGGTTGAACTTTTCAATGATATACTTGTCCAAAACTATTGCACCATTTAATTTGTCGGTTGAATTTTATGCAATTGTTGTTTTTTTTTTCTCGTTTTAAAAAATAGTTTAAGAAGATATTAATTTCACCAGTTATTCAAATCTAATCTAATGAGGATTATTGGCTGTAGATGCGGAGTAGTTGATTGACTTCCTCAAGGAAAAGATTAAGATCCAACTAAAGAGAACAAACTTTTCTGTCCTTAATCAGGATGATACATTATTGTACTCCACAAACCCTAAACCCTAATTAATTTTAATACAAAATTAATTTAATTCTTCCAATTAAATTTAAAAAAAACAGATTTAAGAAAGATATTAATTTCACCCGTTATTCAAATTTAATCTAATGAGCATTACAGGTTGAGATTTAGTCTAATGAACATTATTGGTTGTATCTCTGATTGGGACGTGGAACAACTAACTTTCTTGTACAATAATTAAAAGATGAAAGATTCAATATCAAGAGAACGAGTTTTCTAATCCTCTTAAGTTTATGTAAATAGAAAATATCAAATGATTTGGAAATTGTAATACTCAAATTTTAATACAAAATTAATTTATTTCCACAAATAATTTTAATACACGAGAGAAAGAATATGTTATACATTTAAGTATGGTAACGACTTGTAATGACAAAAATTATTCGTGAAGTTTAATAAATCCATAAATATCTAACTTAAATTTGTTATTACTATTTCTTAGTACAACAAACACATGAGGTTAAGATTTAAACCTCTATCTTCAAGGAAGTGAATTATGTGTCTTTATCATTCAGTTATACTTACTTTGACATCAAATTTAAACTTTTAAAATTATGGACATTTTAATGAAACATGAACCAAATTGTTACTTTTAGTGCATCAATGATCAAATTTAAACAAAACTCAAATCATAAGTACTCAATTATCTTTTGAATTTATAGAGACGATATTGAAACTAAGCCCCCTGTAACCAAATTGGTTATTAACCGAATATAATAAAGGTTAAAAATACTATTTGGTCCATGTATTTTCAAAATATTTATTTTAGTCCCTTTACTTTTAAATTTGGTTCATTTTAGTTCAAAATGTTTATTTTTATTCATGTTCTTATAAAAATTGACCATTTTGATACATATTTTACAATTTTTAACATAAATTCTACATAAATATTTGATGTAAAGTCATGATTACATTTCAAAAACGACAGAGTGTAATATTATGTTGAAATCGTGATAAAAAATTAAGATTCAAAAAAAAAAATTAAGGGTCCGATTTTTTTTATTTACCGAAATCAATGCCATGTGACTTAGTGAATCCCTAAAATTAAGGGATCAAAATGGTTATGGATTAAAGTACAATAAAAAAACTACCTAGATCAAAATAAACAAAAACTGAAGGTACGAAAGACAAACTACTATATTAATGTAAATTTCTTTAAAAATCTCACGTGAATACCCAAAATAAAGAACATCTTTACATTTAGTATGGCAATAACTTGTAATGACATAAATAATTTGTGAGGTTTAATTAAATACATAAACACCAAATTGAGATTTAAACATTCTGAACCAAAAAAGCATAACTGACGCGTCCATCCGCATATAGTGTGATTGTAAGTCGTCTATAAAAGAAAAGAAAACGAATTGATTGTACAATTTTTTTGTTTGCTTTCACCCGAAACTCATTTTCAAAATATTTATGAAGGTTTTTTCTTGAAACTTATTTTAGTTAGGTAGGTTATTGAAATTTTACATTTCATGTTATCTTTCAAGTTTAATTTTATGTATTATTTTACTTTTTTTAGTTATATGAGGTTAGGGAGGAGAATCTTTACCTTCTATTTTTGCCCTCAACTTTTTAATCCATATCTATTTTGTCCTTTAAATTTCTATGAGAGTTTGAGTTGAAATGTCTGTTAAGAGAAACCCTCAACTTTTTAATGCGTACATATTTTGTCCTACGAATTTGTGTCGGATACGACTCTTCGAGTTAAATTATTGTTTGTTGAGAGAAACTAACAAAAAAGAGTTTTAACTATTCAAAGAACTTATGTGTCCATCCACTCATAGGTATGATTGCACATGAAAGAAAACAATTGATCATACTTTTCTTTTTTTTTTTTTTTTGCTTTCGCCCGAAACTCATTTCAAAATATGTACGAAGTGTTTTTCTTGAAACTTATTTTAGTTAGGTAGATTATTGAAATTATACATTCATGTTATCTTCAAGTTTTAATTTTACGTAGATTATTTTAATTTGTTTAGTTACCTTCTTTTTTTGGGGTAGGTTACCTTCTGGGCAGCAATTGTAAACCTTCCTACATCGGTCGGTTTTCATATTAGATCGAATCAGAATTCTCTATTCCATTAGATGAGAGAGGGAGAATTGTGTGGCGGGGCAAAAATTGGCAATGCAAGTGATTGATAACAATGAATCTGAGGAAGATGGAAGTAACGAGAGTTGTGGAAATTTATGACCTTTGTTAGTGACGATGAAAACGATGTTATAATTATGCAATTTAAGGGTTATTGTCTTGATTGTTATGTATTTGATCAATCATATGGATTTGGGAATCTGATATCCGTTTAAGTAGACTATATTCAACTTTGGTTTGATTTCATCCAATTCACATTAGTCTACAAATAAGTTTTCTACTTCAATATTCAAAAGTCATAAATCCAATGTTTAGGTCATTCCTCTCCGTGAAAAGATCTTTTCAAAAAACATAAAACAATTACCTATCGAGTAACAATTTTAATTTATCATTTTCGTTTAAATTTTAATAATCTATACTTTCTCTTTCATCTTCTCTCTTTCATTATTTTTAAATTTTATATTCAATATTAAATATTTAAACTCGTAATTAACATATATCTCCAACTAAAATATTGTGAGTTCGATACTCTATCTCATGATTTCTTGGTTCGATACTCTATCTTTTCCTTGAGTTAGGTTCGGTTTGGCATCTCATATGTTCTATTAAAATATATATATATATGTATATTTATAAATATTTTTTTTCTAAATGGGATCTAAGTGGATTGAAGTTATGAAACGAGTCCTGCGGGCCAACGAAAGCGCCCATTCGCACCCAATTACACAACGTATAAGAATTTGGTGCACAAATTTGGGTTTCTGCATACGCCTCGATTACTGGTTCTGCTTTTTCCGTTATCAACTCTCTGTGGTCAATGGAAAATTCTCCCCTCTCTCTCTCCTCCTCTGCTTCTTCTCTCTCTATCTCTCACTCCCCACCCCCTCTCTCTCTTCCTCTTCCACGCTCTAATGGCCGTCAATCCCACAAATCTCACTTCCCATTTTGCCCCCACATTCCGCCGGAGCCACCCCATCTCCGCCCCATGGACCGCCCTGAAACCCTCCTTCCGCCGCTCCCTTTTCGCCTCTCTCGCTGGGAGTTACCGTTGTTTCTCTCCGCCTGCTGCCCGCAAAATCGCGTGCAAGGCATCCGAGATCTCGGTGGCGGAGGAACCGTCGGCACCGGGGGACAGTGGTAACTGGGTGCCGGTGGTGCCGCTGGCGGCCCTCCCGAGAGGGGAGCGGCGCGTGATTATTCAGGGCGGCGAGACGATTCTGCTTCTTTGGTATAAGGATGTGATTTTCGCTATTGAGAATAGATCTCCTGCTGAAGGTGCTTACACGGAAGGCCTCCTCAATGCCAAACTCACTAAGGTTAATTTCGTGCCCCTTTTCTTCTGATTGTTCATAAATTGTAGAATTCTCAGAATTTCATTCACTGCGAAGAACTCCTATTTGAAATCTGTGTTTGTGTTTGTTTGACATGTTAGTTCAGTTGCATCAAAATTATTAATTATTCAGTTGTCCCTTCTATCATATGGTTTCTGGAGGATGACATTCATAAATTCCCTTTCCACGTGATATCCATATATGAATTAAATTTACCCAATTCATTAATTTAAGCTTTTGGATTGTACGTTGGTGAAAATTTACCCAATTCATTAGTTTAAGCTTTTGGATTGTACGTTGGTGAAAATTTACCCAATTCATTAGTTTAAGCTTTTGGGTTGAGTGATGGTTTATTCATATCAGAATGAGAGGTTGTGTTCGAACATTGCATTGTTAGTTCCTCCTCATTTATTATGATTTATACTTGTTGGGATAAATTCACTAAATTTACCCAACTCATTAACTCAATCCGAATTGTGCTTTATTCATCCTTAATAACTATGTTTGGTTTGAATTCATTCAAATGGAATGATTCACTCCAATATTCTCGATGTTTATCATCATTCCATCTTTAGCGATATAGAAACAAACACTGCCGTTTGATGATCGTAACGCTTCCTTTACACAGGATGGGTGCATTGTCTGTCCAACGACAGATAGCACATTCGACCTCCAAACAGGAGAGATCAAGGAATGGTATCCAAAGAACCCAGTTCTCAGAGTCCTCACCCCAGCCTTGAGGAAGCTTTTTATATACCCGGTAAAAATTGATCAAGACAACATTTACATCAACATGGGAGGAAATGTAGCAATATCAGATTCATCAGCCGAGATCGTTTTCAGTGGAAAGGCTCAACCCGGTGTCACTGCAACCGATGTCAATGTCGACGAGGTAACTAAATATTGAACCTATTTCTTGAGTTTTTGTGTATGGACTAACATAAAAAATGAGATTTGACAAGCGTGTTTAAAGTTTTTTTAATCTTTTGCTGAATGAGTTTTTTTAACTACATTTTTAGATCTTGTTTTTAGATTTCTGCTATCCTCTCCCTCGCTTCTCTGTTAACGAGTCAGATTCAGGTTTAGAACTTGTGGAATCTCCAAAATTTTCTATAATGCCGTATTGGAATGAAAAAGATATCGGAGCTTGAAGGTCATTGTAGAGAATGAATTGATTATAGAGTGTGAGCAAAAGAGAGAATGGATGAAAAAGACAATCGGAGTTTGAGAGTCGTCATCGTAGAGAATGAATCGATTATAGAACAAAAGAGAGAATGGACAAAAAAGACAATCATCATTGAGAATGAATAATTTGTGTATACCAATGGAGGAAATAAATAAAAAATGTGGAAAACAAGACAGAGATTCTCTACAATGACACTGTAGACCAATTGAAAGGGATTCTCTACAATGACACTGTAGACCAATTGAAAGAGATGTAGAAGCTTCAATCAAAAGAGAGAATGGACAAAAAAGACAATCGGAGCTTCAAAGTCATCATCGTAGAGAATGAATCGAGTGAATGAACGAGATCGAGAGGGAGTGTGAGGGAGGGAGAAAAGAGCTAGAGTGTGGGCGAGGGAGAGGAGTGAAAATATGAGTGAAACGAGAGCAAGGAAGGAGATGAGCGAGAGAAGAGTGCGAGCGTTTTTCAAAGCAAGTTAGATCTCATTTGGGCCAAAAATTTTTAGATTAGGCCGTCAAAAAAACACTAAAAAGAACCCAGTTCTTTTACTGTATTTTCCTTTGGTTCTTGAACTTCCGCCTTGTTATGTTGTAGGTGAGAATGGTGGTTGATGAAGATCTTGAAGGGTTTGGCTTCACTGGGAAAAATGAAGTGATAAATGGAAAAGCAGCAGTGATTGGGTTCTTGTTGCTGTTGGATTTTGAGCTCTTAACTGGCAAGGGTCTTCTCAAGGGAACTGGCTTCTTGGACTTCATTTATTCTGTTTCAGATGCTTTCAAATAGATGTAAGTTCAATATTCTTCTACCTTGGAAAATATCCAAACCTATTCCTGTATACTATACATATTCATAGCAAGAAATTACATGCTTCTGTTGAATAAAAAATGTGCCATTCCTTTATTAGAGTTTACATATGGACTCAAAAACATCCTGTTTATTCAACCGAAACTGCATCATATATAAGAGTAATGAGATCAAATCGAAAGAGCAAAACGTTTATATACAAGATCTTATAGTTATAGGAAAATCAGAAACAACCACTTGTGATTCTCTCTGCAACAGAGGTTTTCATTCCATCTTCTGGGTCTGTAGGCTTTGTGGGGAATTAGCGGGAAGGAGAAATAGTCTTCTTGTCGGAGATGTGCTCCCCAAAAGAGGCCTCCCACCACCTTCATAAACCGGCATTCCTGTCCCGACAAGGGAGGTCCTCCTCGTACCGTTGGAGGAAAGCAGCATCCTGAATGTCCAGTTCAGGACGCTGGGTGCAAACATCCTGTATAGCAGGAATATGTCATACCAGCTCGGATACTTCACGTATAAACTGCCCCGACATGCCCCCGACACGATCAGCCTTGCAAACTCCTCAACCGCACTTCCGCTTGCCTGCACCTGATAGACGAAAAAATCAACCATTATCTCCATCATTTGAAGATTTGCCCAAACATAGAGCTGTTGCCTTACCTCTCTCTCTTCCTTCCATTGCATTTCTGCACCTTCTTCTACCATGAACTTGCCTCTGGTCATTTCACTCCCAATCCAACCATGTGTAGCAATTGTTATCCCAACATCATCTCTCACTTCAAATCTCAATGTCTCATAGAAATTCACCAGTGCCGCTTTTGCTGCCTGTTCATTTGACAATGAACACAACCGAGACGATTTGTTCTTTTATCATCAGATGCATGAATTCAAAAATCGAAAATACTAATTTCTCCATTTATGGTGAAGAGTTTGACTTACAGAATACAGACTCATTCGTGGCAGGGGTAACCAGGTCTCAACCGATGCATTAACGATGACTCGACCATTGGTTTGACGCAGGTATGGAAGAGCCACCAATGTTGGATAAACATTTCCCCAAAAGTTTATGTCCTGCAAACGATACGATAAACCAGGTCTCAGGTCTTCAGGATAATATTAGGCAATACTAACACAACTACTAGGTTTTAGGCGAATTTGTAAAACCACAAAAAACTACTCTCAACTCGTCTTCCCTACCATCAAGTGGGGAAATATAGATGTGTCGGTAACTTCGTCGAAGTAGAATGTATGTCCCAGACTTGCAGTATTTACTAGATGATCCACTGCACAAGAACAACAGTTACAAGATAAAGAAAACAACCATTGCTCATAAAGAATATATGGTTCATGAACTACAAATTCTTCATTTTTATGATATCCATGAGTTGGTCTCCACATTTAAGAACACAAGTTTTGAAAGAGTATATTGACTAACGCTGAGCAATATGAAACCAACTGTGAACTACATGGTTTTTTGAAATAACGACTTTAAAGTTTATTATCCAAAAAATGGAATTAAAATCACTTTTATGATTTTTCAGTTCAATATCTAACTTCCCAATCATTTTCTTTTCGGATTACTAAGCCCCAATCGATAATCACTGTATTCCTTTATGAAGATCTAAGCCAAATTTTGGTTTTCTCGTTTTTGTTTTTAAAATTTAGCTAAGAATTCAAATCCTATACCAAGGAAATGGGGACAGAGTTTGTTTTAACATTTAATAATATATAAAATCTAAATAATATTCTAACATCAAAGCTGGAATAGCTCAGTTGGTTAGAGTTTGCGGCTGTTAACCACAAGGTCGGAGGTTCAAGCCCTCTTTCTAGCGGAAGATTATTTATTTTTTCTTTTTTCGTAATTTCAATAAAATGAAGATTTTTTTTAGAAAGACGCAAGGATAACACACTGCTAATTATACTGACACGTAGGCACTTAGCCAATTAAATGAAGATTATTGGTGACTGATTAGAAATATGCATACCACGTCCAAAGAAATTAACAGCCTCAGAAACAAATCTTCGACAATCATCTTCCTTAACAACATCCGCCGCCATAACCAAAACTCTCTTGGCTCCCATCAGCCTCGCGTTCTCGCTTATCACTCTCAGCCTGTTCTCCCTCCTCGCCACCAGCATCAGATTCGCCCCCCTCTTCGCGTACTCGTACGCTATTTGCTGCACTCACTCTAAATCATTAGAAGCACAGCCATAAACAAAAAACATGAAACAGTAACGTTATTATGTTTAACGACCTCTCCAATGCCGGAGGAGGCTCCGGTGATGATGACGACTTTATCGAGCATGACTTCGGAGTTGAGGGAGCTGTAAATCCACTCGCAGGCGTTGATGAAGGACAATGCCGGCCATGAGAAAGCCAGCAGCACCAAGCTCGCCGGCGGCACCACCAGGTTCAGGAATGAGTTTATCAACTCCATCTCTCATCAACACACAGTACAAAGACAGACAAAAAAAAATGATCTCTAAAAGGGCATTAGAATTTTGGGTTTGGTTTCTGAGAGAGAAGAAAGCAAGTGGAGATGAAGAAGGCAACAGGTGGCCTTATGCATGGGAGCTGTGGGGGACACGTGGGCTGACAAGTGGCACAATCAGTAATTACTCGAATTTTGGTTGCCTTCTGAGTTCTCTTCCGATGATATAAGGAAAATATTTGGGATGCTGCTCCTATTAAATATTGGTCTGACGCGTGGGAATGTCTATCTATCTATAGATTCGATTAGGAGATAAATTGACATTTCCGTAATATTACAAAAAAAAGTTTGATAAAATATAAAAGAAAAAAAAAGTATCAACAAAATTTTGATAATATAGCCATAATATTAATTTTGATATTTTTTAAAAAATTTTAAAATGGTAAAACGGTTATTTGTTAATTTAAATATATTTTTTCGAATTTTTTATTTTTATAACTTTTCTAGAAATATCTATCGACAACGATATTTTCATAAAATTGAGACCTCGACATTTCTATCGACATCGACGTTTAAAACTTTAGTTCTCACTCTTAAATGTTTGACAATAATAGTAAGAGCGGGGACTTTTTTTAGAAAGAAAAAACAAGTTATCAAATATGTAAAAATATTGGGAGCTAAGTATTTTTCATAGCATAATAGAATAAAATTGAGGTGATGTATATCCTCTTATGTGTACTATAAAAATTGACCATCATTTATTCGATTTCTCTCTCTTTCTTTATGCATTCATCTCTATTAGTCATTAATTTTGAATAGTAGTAAGTATGTGAGATACCTATTTTAATTAAGTTTTCTTTATTTTAAAAATATGTTTAGCTCCATAACGAGAATCAAATTTTGTCTTCGCCACTATTAAAAAATTGATAACTCATTAATTTGTATAAAAAGTGACTATTTTTATATTTATATTTCTCTCTAAGTAGTTAAATACACGATAATGAGGACAAGATTTGCTTCTTGCAAAAGATGCTTATAAATCAAAATTTGATATTACAGCCGCCTACGACAATTGAAGAGAGAGGGAAAAGTTGAGGAGAGAAAAAAGAAAAGAAAGAGATAAGAAATTCATTCCATACAGTAACGTTTTTTGCATGATCGGAGGTCGATCCGTGGTCCGATCGAGGTGAAATTTTGACAGCATGTTCGTAACACGAGTGTCTTCAATCTGGATGGTGGAGATTTCTTTTGGAGCTACCTACAGTCAGATACAGTGGGTAGTTGGTACCACTACGATTTATTCCCTTTGTTTGCCGAGATTTATTGTATATTATTATTGTATGTCTCTAGTTGTTGCTAGGGAGCACTCGGTGTACCCATTATTGATTATAGTAGAGATTTTGACTTCAGTCCGTGGCTTTTTACTCCTCACATTGAGGGGGTTTTTCCACGCTCGTGTCCTAAATTATTATTGCTATTTCGTATTAGGTTCACACAAGAGGGATAATTGGTCCATAAATTTAAGTGTTTAACCCAACACTTCTCTCATTATAATTTAGTTTTGAAATGAAAAATTCGATCAAAAATAAGATTGGGCCAATATTTGAAGTTAATTTTTTTTAATCGATTTTTTAATTTGACAACCATATCAATAGAAAAGAAAGGTAATTTTAATCATGACAAAAGTAATTTTGACACTGTCAAAATCGATCACGAACCTATCTTCAATATAATGGTAAATAAAAGATAGAGGAGCGGATTGATAAACACTAAAATATTTGATCATATCCATTCGAGAGAGCTTTGGTCTGGTTTGCTTTCTTGGTTGAAGTCGGCAGGAGGCACCATGTTTCAGACTTCCTTATCGAAAGTTGCTTCAAGATGCTACGCGCTCGCTAAATGTTAATTTTTTTTTCTTTTTTTTTTCCAAGAGGCACTATGAATTTGTCTCATTATAAATTATACATTTTTCTTTTTTAGTAGAACAAATGAGATTGAAGATTCGATCTTATAGTTTCTTAGTCAAAAATAGATGTTAATTACTGTTTAGCTAAGTATGTTAATATATATTTAGTGATATATTGTTATCATATAAATATTGTACAATCAATATATTTTTTTTAATTAGGCATATCAGTAATAATATACTTGAAAAATAGTATATCAATAATACATGAAATTGTTAGGTTTTTTTCGAATAATATTTTTATTTAAACTTATTTTTAAAATAACGATTCATTAAATAAAATATTGATATATTATATATCAATATTTGCTTCACGTATTAGGAAAAAATAAAATATCCTTATATATTATATATTAAATAATAATATAAATCTAGTTATGGTACAATGGATTTAAACCCACCTTTTGAACAAGATGCGCAGAATTTTAACTCTAAGAAATGCGTTTTTCATTTTTTACTACTTTTTTTTTAATGTTAATCAATTTATTATTATTATTGAAAACTATAATAATTATAATTATATATATATTTACACTTATAAATATAATATATTTTTATAATGTATTGTTTTACAAAAAAAACAAATAATGTACTAAAAAATAATAATAATAAGTTAGTATGACCTAGTTTTCTTCCTTGGCTTCGATTGAGTCTTAGAAAGGTCATTTTTTAAATTCTTTTTTTACTATTAATCAACTTTTTACTTATTATTATTATTATGGGTAAAATATACTTTTAGTCCCTGAATTTGAGGTTAGATTTCTATTTGATCTCTAAGTTTTGAAAAGTAACAGTTTAGTCTCTAATCTTTTAGAAAATGGTTCTGAACGTTGACGTGGAAGTTTAAGGGATGGAGTGATATTTACTTGCATGTTAATTTTGAATGATGTGGCATTTGAATTTAAAAAGAAAAAAAGAAAAAGTGAATGATGTGGCGTTTGAATTTTCTTATAAAAAAAAGGAAAAAGAAAAAGGAAATGGAGAAGACGAAGAAACTTCACAAGATGGCCGTCACCGGTGACCATCGTCCACCCTACCCTTATGGATGGAACTCTGCTGGGTTGTCTCTGCATCAGTCGATAATTAATGGAAATTTGGTTATTAACGAGAGGAGATCTAAATATTTTATGGTTTCATTTCCAGTCGGCTTCCATCGAAGAGAAACAGAAGAAGAATGGTGCGGATCTATGGCAGCATTTGGGCTGTCGTTTTGCTTTGATATTCAATTTCTCAAACTTAAATCAAGACTGTCTCCATCAAATTGACCGTTGAATCTGTAGAATGTGGGGGAAAATTACAATAGATTACACAAAATCATGTACAATAAGTTGAACAATTAGTGGCTACTTTGTGTTTAATTACCAGATGTGGGATTGACTTCATTATCGTGTAGATGCTGGGATTGAAATTTGTCAAAGCTTCTTTGCCATTACACTTGATTGCAGCTTTATCGTACGCCCTGTCGTTGTTACCATCATGTTCAGATTCTTTCCGATGGTCACCCACGATGGCCATCCATGGGAGTCTGTTCATCTTCTCCATTTTCTTCCTTTTCTTTTCCTAATTCAAATGGGACGTTATTCAAAATTAACACCCAAGCAAATGTCCCTTCATCTTTTAAACTCTCACAGTATTCCATTAGCGACACTAATGGTAGTTTAATCTTATAGACCTTTTAGAACCATTTTCATAGAAGTGGGTTTAAATTCTGAAACAATTATTTAAAATATATAATAAAATTTGATTTTTTAGTCAACCCTATGAATTATTGTAGTCGAAACTTCGTATCAATACAAGAGACGACTATGTCTTAATTTAAGAAATTAAAAAGACGTGACGGCTCTGGAAGAGACGACTACTGCTGAAAATGACATCGTCGTCTCTTTAAGGGACGACCAAGTGGGGGAAAAGTTTTAAACGCATTAGTTTTTTAATAAGTTTCAAAAGAAGCATTATTTTAAAAATAAGTTTAAATAAAAACATTATTTTTTAAAAAATACGAAATTGCTATATTTGTAAATTATTTGATGTACGATTAATTTACAAATATGACCATTAGTTTTTACTCCTATTCCAGTGTATAGACAAGTCTTTTTTTTTCTTTTTTTTTTTAATGTAATTCACAATAGTAATTAACTTCCAAGCAAATTCTAAGCAAAATTTAAAGCAAATTCAAAGCACACTTTAAAACACACGAACTCTAAAATAACCTAACAACAACTTTAACCAAATTCGAAACAAAATGTAAAGTAAATTGCAAGCATATTTCAAAACAAATTACATTATTTAAACCCTACACAAAACTTAACAATATTGCAGTTCAAATAATAGACATGCTGTAAATAAAATTCAAATAGTGTTCAATCCTTGGATGCACAAGAATGATCAATGAAATAATTCTAGTAAAAGAAAACACACTGTACCATTGATGAATCTGTTAGAAATAAAACAAGCTAACAAATATTATTTCAATCATAATTCCAGACAATATATGCTAACTAATCTCAGATCAGGCTCTGGTTCCAATTATAGCAGAAAGAAATTAAATCAAAACTATGCTCACAGAGTAGATAAATCAACCTAAACCTCAAGCAACAAGAACAATAAAATATAGGGAAGAGAAATCGACACCGGATTTATACTGGTTCACCCAATGTGGGCTACGTCCAGTTCTCTGCTACCGTTGCAGGTTCCACTAAATGTCAGGAGAATCTTCAAGAGTTTACAACGCTCTACAATGATTTCTCTCACTTTTTTCTCAAAGAAAAATGCTCATGAATCACTCTTACAAGCTTCTAAAACTCTTCGATGGAAACAAAAACTTACAAAGCTCATGTTTTTCTTCTCTGTGAAGCCTCACAAAGAAGCTCTCGCCAAACTCTCTCTCTATAAATTTCTCTCACTTAATTCTCTCTCTCTAGGGGTTGTTGAAATGTGGGGCGAGAGACACTTGCTTTTTTAACCAAAAAAAATAGCCAACTTAATGAAGAAGAAATAATGTATTGGGCCTTTTGTATTTAAGCCCATTAAGCCACCTTCATTCTTTCTTTTAATTTTGGCTCCATTCTCAACAATCTCCAACTTGGAGACAAAACAGGCATCACGTCT